AGTATGTATGATCTTAATAATACATATGATTAATTGTGTGATTTTCAGATGAAAATTGAAAATCCTGCCTGTGTTAGGTTGCTTGGGCGACTTTAACAAGGTATGACACACACTGGGCAGGTTAAATAACCGAAATCCACTGTCTCACTATTCTGGAAGCTAGAAGTCTAAGATCAAGGTGTCGGCAGTCTTCGTTTCTTGTGAGGCCTCTCTCCTTGACTTTTTGATGGCTGTCTTCTCCCTGTGTCTTCACATGGTCACCTCTCTGTGTGTGTCTGTCTGTATCTGAATTCTCCCTTTCACAAGGATACCAGGCATGCTGGATTAGGGCCCACCCTAATGACCTTGCTTTAACTTGATCGCCTCTGTAAAGACCATGTCTCTAAATAAAGTCCGTGATGAGGACACCAACTAATGAATTGGGGTGCGGGGAACACAGTCCACTCAAAACTGACCTCCTTGCCCTCGATTTCCCTTTGCCACCACTAGCTCCGGACCCATCTGCCCCTGATGTGCTTTCTCTGCAGCACATTCTTGCCAGCAGTCTTGATTTTTCTGAGGCTTCATGTGTTGAAGGTGAATTTTGGTCATTTGATTTAAACACCAGTTTGTGAGTGAAGAATAATGTGCATTCACAAATTATGATATTGATTGTATTGTCAATTTAACGTAATTCTGAAATAGGATTCTAGGGGCTCAGTGCATTAAGCACCCGGCTTCGGTTCAGGTCATGATCTCGTAGTTTGTGGGTTCGAGCCCCGCGTCGGGCTCTGTGCTGACAGTTCAGAGCCTGGAACCTGCTTCAGATTCTGTGTCTCCCTCTCTCTCTGCACCTTCCTCACTCGTGCTCTGTCTCAAAAATAAATAATAAACATTAAAAAAATAAAAAAATAATAAAGTAGGATTCTAAACGCCAGTCTGGACAATGAGAGTATGTTTGAATAAGTACAACGGCTTCCAGGAGAGGTGGTACAGGTTAAGTTAGCTAGCGGTCGGGAGAATAGACAGCGGAACTGCTTGGGTCATCATTGACCCATTTACCAGCTGGTTAACCCTGGGAAAGGTACTTACATCTCTCTTTGAGTTTTCTTGTCTGAAAATGTAGATGTTATAGTACCTACTTCACGGAGTTGTGAGAATTTAAAATGCTAATGTGTGTGAGGAATATGGAGAAGTGCCTGGTACGTAGTAAGCGCTCAATAAATGTTTGACGCTCTTATTCCTAGCATGGCTGCTTTGAACAAAAGATACATTTGAGTAAATGAGGTCTCGTGTGTTTGTTAAAACGTTGTTTGTGGAGACGGTATATGTGCTTCTAGGATACAGTGTAATTGGATCTGAGAAGACAGTTCTTAATGTCATTAACAGTATACGAGCTTGAAACAAACATGGGGATGAGTTTTAATCATTGAGGTACATGTAACTCTTGTTTGCCAACATTTAACTTCTCTAATTTAGTGGTTTTCAATTTGAATTCCTGCTCCTGGAATCCTGGCTCAGGGGCCACAGGGTGATGGTAGAACACTAAGTGTGTGGGGTCATTGTGACATTGTTTGTACCCCAGGCCAGACACCCACCCTCAATCAGAACGGATCTCCTGTTGCGTATTTTATATATTATGGTTCTATGTAACATTTGTTGGAAAGAGTTCTGCTACTAAAAATAGCTTGAAAACCACTAGCCTGGTGTGTAGATTATTCATTCTTCTGTCCCCCCCATTGCTTTCATTTCATTGCGTTCATCCCCAGGGATGCAACCAATGTTAATATTAGCCTGAGCAAAACATAATTAGGGAGGTAAATCTACTGCAAAAAGCAATACAGCATAAATTAAATAAATTAAATATAAATCAAATCAAATATGAAACAATGCATTCAATTATCCGCATCACTGCCTCCCTGCTCTAACATGGATATTTGAGAGGAGACTCATCTTCTTTCTGGGATAGGACCAGAGCTGAGCCAAGACCAACGAACTGTGTCAACCCCTGGAAGGCTAGTGCTTGACCTATTGAGCAGTAGCTAAAGGCACTGCCTCTTGGTTAGCTACATTTTCAGGGTCAGCAGGTGGACCCGATACCTATCTGTCTTCATTGTTAATGCATGAACTGGTCTGTGTGTGTGGCTGGGAACACCTCCTTATAAAATACTATTAAATGCTCACACAGCATCAATCTCGTGGTGAACCGTTTGCTGAAAAGTTATTAGTTGAATGGGCTCCCATGAGCCTGGAGAGGGAAAGTGCATCTCCGCCCTCGGCAGGTTGGAAGTTCAGACAGCAGACATTAGCAGCAGGAAGCTGGTGCTGCCTCTGGAATCAGGCAGAATCGTTCCAGGCACATCTTTGGCACCCTCTGCCCTTCTCTCCCCAGCATCTCAAGGGGCATCTTCTCCCTGCCCTCTGTGTTAGCATGCCACCCAAACTTACCTCCCTTCAGAAGAGCCAGTCCGCATCCAACCGGCCAGAATTCTCCAGGGAGGATTCCACATGCGCCTTCCCACCGTTCCCACACCGATTTTTGTCACATCGTGACTCCTGGATTCAGAAAACTCTGCTGCCTGGTGCCCTGCTGTTTGTCAGCTCTCCTCCGACCCCGGCTGGCCTGGGCTCCTCTCCTCTGCTGGACGGAGGTCTAAAGTGGGGACGACTTGTTTAGAATGGGCCTGCCCCAGTTCTAGGGCATTTGCAGTGGGCACTAACTTGCTTGTACTGAGAAGTCACAGATGGTGGAGGTGACAACTTTCAAAACCAGTCCTTACAGCCGAAGAACAGCAGCAGGCAGGCAGACTGGCAACCTGCCTGTCATCGTTTGCAACCCCTGCTGCAGCAGCTGTTTCGAACGCCACCCCCTGCCCCCCACACACCCCAGGAAACCTGACCTTCTCACTTTCGCAGCTCACCATTTTGCTCTTCTAGTACCTGTAACTTTCTTTTCTTTAATTTTTTTCTTTTTCTTTTTTGGCTACTGTTGAGAAGCAGTGAGCTGTTGAGGGCAGGAACCATGTCTTTATGCTCCAAGTTCCTAACTTACTAGGAGCCCAGTAGATATTGAAAGAATTAATGAGTATGTGAATGAATGAATGAATGATGAGCAAAAAGCTCCAGAGCTTACGCTTTTCAGCATCAACCTAATGAAAGGTTCCAGGCCTTCCTTTCCTTCCTGACTTCCATGCTCTGTGCCCACCCTTCGGCTTCACAGCTGGGTTTCTGCTGAAGGTGCCTGCCTGGTCTGTCCCGTTCAGTGTTCCCTCCAAACCCCCTCTCACAGTGCTGCCCAATTAATTTTCCTGAAAAGCCCCATTTCTTTCTTATTGCTCTCCTGCTCAAAACTGGAGTAATTTCCCACTGCCTGTGGAATAAAGCTCAGAACTCCTTCGCCCGGCCTTCAGTATTGACTAGAGCCAGTCCCTGATATTCCTTTAAGGATTGTTTTGACTGTAAATATTCTAAACACATTGGAAAACGTAACATACACTCATTTACCCACCACTGAGACTAAACAAACATGAGCGTTTCCCCCACTTATTTTCCTAAACGAGTAAGCACACATTTCAGATGCAGACAGACTTCTCCCCTTCTGCCCTTGCCCCTCCTCCCTCCCTTTAGAAACAGTCTTTCCTCTTCTCATCCATCACAGTTCACCTCTGTGAACCGTATGGTCCAGCGGGCCTCATCTTTTCCCTGGAGCTTTATCCTTCCCTTTTCCCCCTGAGGCCCAGTTCACTTTCTGCCTCTTCCAGGAAGCTTTCCACCTAATCACTTGTTTTCCTAAATCGCTACCTAACTTACTGTCTGCACTGTGCCCTTGGAGACGGTATCTGCCTGTGACAATCTTTATGTAACAGTTTGATCCTACTGGATTTCTTTCTTTCTTTCTTTCTTTCTTTCTTTCTTTCTTTCTTTCTTTCTTTCTTTCTTTCTTCCTTTCTTTCTTTCTCCCTTTCTTTCTTAATTTCTTTCTTTTTTTCTTAGTTTATTTTTGAGAGAGAGAGAGAGACAGAGTGTGAGCAGGGGAGGGGCAAAGAGAGAGGGAGACACAGAATCTGAAACAGGCTCCAGACTCTGAGCTGTCAGCACAGAGCCGGATATGGGGTTTGAATTCAGAATGGCAAGATCATGATCTGACCTGAAGTCGGATGCTTAACCGACTGAGCCACCCAGGCGCCCCCTAACACTGGATTTCTATTTTCAGTAGTAATTTTTCATCTTGTTTTATATTGGAGTTGATTGTCTGGGTGTACTTCCTCTCTTTTGGTAACAACATTGGAAATAAGGTCTGATACTTAGTTTCATTCATTCCTTCATTTATTCATTCTGCAGGTCTCAAATGAATGCCTGCTTATACGCTGCAGGAATTGTTTTAAGCACTGAGGATACGGGTGTGAACCCAACTGACAGTTGCTGCGGTGGTGGAATTTATATTCCCGTGGGGGTAGAGAGAAATTACCTGAATAACAGAAGTGTCAAGGTGGATAGTGCTTAGGAGAAAAAAGAAGAAGGGATAAGTCTAAAGAGAGTGAGGATAATCTATGTCAGATGTCCTTTAAATACACGTATCTCCTATATGTTCCACCTCACTGCTAAACACAGTGCTCTGTGCATAGTTGTTGGAGTGCACAGTGTAGCTGAATAGATCATATTTGATTACTGCCTATGAAATGCTACCCTGTGTAGACCATCCTGTGTAAATTTTCATTCTTTCCTGCTAAGAGGAGCACATCTGGGTTGTTCCTTCACCCTATCTATGCAGTATGGAGATGTGCACTACAGAAATAACAGATTTTAGTACTAGCCAAAGTAGAGCGTAATTAGAGAGGAGAAATCTGCTTCCTAGCAACATGTTAATTCCACAGTCAAATGGAACCAATCTGGCATCATGTTTCCCACTGTTGTTGAGCCTTTGGGCTGATGGAAGTTTCACTGTTTCACCGTGTTCCTATATTTGGTGGTATTGAACTATGATCCCAAGAAGACCAATGTCTTCTTTCTAATTCTTCCAGCCTCCGGGAACGGATAAAAACCCTCAACTTGTCACTGAAGGAACTCACCGCTAAGGTAAGCACCTTTCTATGCCCACTTTCTAAAGAAGTCTCTAAAGTTATCTTTTTAACTTACGTGATATCTAGCTCACATGAAATTCTGTGTCTAGCTGATGGCTCCACAAGAAGTGTAGACTTTACAAAGCCATCCTCCAGGCCAGGTGATGAGGCCAAACAGCCGGGAGCTAGGGCTGCTCTGTGGTGGGGGTCCTGGCTTGTGGTCCCCCAGCGACTGATTGGTTTGGCCTTTGCTTCACCAGGAACTGTCAGTGTTAGGGGACAGAAATGAGTGCTTCTGGGTACTCTCAAATGCTTTTGCATGAAGAGGCTTTGGGGATGGGAGTAATCCAAGAAATCAATTGCTTTTCTTCCAGGAGGACAGGGTTCAGGGATCCGCACAAACAAGTTTGGAAAAGGCGTAGTAGGTGTTTGTGTTCTAAACTTTTTAAGTTGACTTCAGAGTCATTTTGCCCATTTTCACTGCCACGTATACTTCATATCAGGCCCTCGGCACACAGTCAATTAAATAGTCAATGTCGTGGTTAGTTAGGGTAACCACAGTTTACAAAACAGAATCCTTCCCTGCAGAGATAGTTATATGTGACCGAGAAGGATCAATTACTCTGTGAACTACTACATGTGTGGCACAGAACCGGGTAGGAATTGTTAATTATTTGTGTTAAGTCTGGGAGCCAGGGGTGGTTATGAGATGAGCAGGATGTAAAAAGAATGGGTTTCAGAGCAAAGAGCAAAGCAGATGAGAAGCCACCGTCCTGAAAGAAATGTTTTTTTTTTCATCTTCAGTGCCCAGGGGAGGTCAGGAAGACCTGCCAAGGGGCTCACAGATCACCACAGCTGAGCTGAGACTGGGGCTGTGTTGTCGGCAGAAGTGTCCACGATTATTCTGGCTCTCTTTTTTTCAGTTTTTGTGTCTGTTTCCAGAAACCAACCAACCAACCAACCAACCAAAAATACAACCAAAAAAAATCCAAAACTAAAACCAAACCAAAAACCATGAAATGGTTTTGCCACAAAATCACACAGCAGTGGTTTGATGGGTGGTTGTGTCCTGCCAGAGGGTTTGCCTGGAGAAGAGCAAGATGAGATTTGAGGCACTGCTTTATTGGGAGCCACGCCAGGGGGTGAATCCCCCTGGTAGGACTCTGGTAAAGGGCTTTTATCATGTGTTCTCATACTGTATGTGCTGAGAGACCTTCTTTCCTGCTCAAGGGAGACTGGCTCGGTTTCCCCACGTTGTCATGTGAAGCAGCAGGGAAAGTGCTAGAGGGCCTACCTTGTATGTTGCGGTGATGTTGCCGACTAGTGTTCATGTTCTCTGGATGTTTGCCAGGTGACCTCCAGGGGGAGCCACTGGGGAGGTGAGGAGAGGCCCCAGCTTCCTGCACGGGGCAGGGGGTAGGAGGATTCCTTTTCCTGGATTTTCTGATGTAAATATGTGCCATTTATCAGGTGCATCCTAATTTCTTTTAATTAATTAATTAATTAAGAGAGAGTGAGAGAGCAAGCACTAGTGGGGGGAAGGGGCAGAGGGGCAGAGAGAGAGAAAGAAAGAGAGAGAGAGGATCTTCAGCAGGCTCCACACTCAGTGCGGAGCTCAGTTCAGGACTCGATCCCATGATGCTGGGATCTTGACCTGAGCTGAAATCAAGAGTTAGACGCTCAACCGACTGAGCCACCTAGGCGCCCCAGGTGCATCCTAATTTTTGCTCAGAATTAAAAGGTGGAATCACTCTAGTGTTTGGGTTTATTGAGTATTGGAACATGCTGTGTGTAATCTGAACGAGTCCCTGCCCCAGCAGTGAGCATGCAGGTGTGCCAATGACAAAATACACATGGTGTTTATGTATGAGTGTGTTTTACGGGACATTTTATACTGTGCACACACATATTGACATATGCACATGATAGTGGGATTTGTTGATAATCTCCAGCTACTGTGAAAGCTCTTGGATTTGCCCAAATGCTGAAAGTGATTGGCTTTGTTTGCATACTTGCTCTCACGCACTTACAAAAAACCTTATAATTCCCTTGCTTTTCCATAAGATTAAGGAATTCATATCTAAGATTTTAAAGTGTAAATCTGAAAGCTCTATTTGGTAATGAGTTCCTCAGGGTCCAATTTTATCTGGAAATTAAAAGGAGATGCAGATTTTCCGGGGCGTGTATGTGTGTATAGGTGGGTATGTACGTGCACACAGCCATGATTGTGTGTGTGTGGGGGGCATAGATGAGTCCACACGGAATTGAAACAAAACTGCTCAGTCACACAAAAAAACAACTTTGCACTCTGGACTCGACTGACTCACGACCTTGAGGTAAAAATTGCAGCTTGGCCCAGTTTTCTTCCTTCAGTATGTTAGACGCATAGACCTGATATTGTTTTGATTCCTCCCCCAAAGAGAGACGGGGCCTTCCTTCATTCATTACATTCCTTTGACTCTAACGGTTACCCACACCAGGTAATTAAAGGATAAATGAGATGGAAGAAATAGTTGGAAATAAATGGAATAGCTGGAGATTGGTAGATATTCGATTACATCCAGCAGTGCCTGAAAGAAGGTACATTGCAATTTAATAAGATTTAGAGAAGCTGTTTCATATTAATAGTGACAGCTTGAAGGATAGGTTTGCTCAACAAAGGAGAAACTGGCCCAATTATGATTAACAGAAACTGTTACCAAAATCAGAAAGACTGGACGGACTTTGGATGAGACATAAGAATTACGGCACGTGTTACGGACTTAGCAGCAGTGTTCTCGGACCTCCGATGACATTCTTAGATGGATGGTAAGGGATGAGCCATCGTCGGGCACTGGGCCAACCTGAGACCGGGTGCTGGGAGGAGGAATCCAGAGCATCTTCTTTTTAACAACCAGTTCTGACTTCCTGACAAATGTCAGGACCACCGTGAGGGTCTAGGAATTAATCACTTGGGACATGGGGACGCTCATCCCCGCTGATTCCAGCTTTGGTGTGGAGGCCACCATGCTGTCGCCTTCATCAGAGAATGAGTTTTATAAAGAGATCTGGGAAATTACAGCTGCTTATGGAAAAGAACATATTTAAGGCCATGAAAGAAATAGTATAATGTTTTAGGCAGGATGGGTGAGGTCTGCTTTGATTCCAAAAATAATTTCAATTTAAGTCTAAGATAAGCACAACAATTAAAGTCGATGGTATCTAGCAAGATCTAGATTCTTCTGGGGAAATTAAATTTTGTATTTTCTCTGGGCTCTGTGAACCCAAGTGGGTTAATTTTAGTCTTTGAATGGAATCAGATTTTTAGCAAGAAGAGGGGGACGTTTCTAGGTAACATCCTTTGTGGAACACCCAAAATGTCTCTGTACACATGTTCATTGTTATTCAACTGAGCTGTGTGCTTTTGTTGAACTGGATGTTTTTCTAGGTAGCTCACTTATCTGAGTATAGATATCAATTGAATATGGAGTTTTTGCTTTTTGTTTTTTTAATGTTTATTTATTTTGAGAGAGAGAGAGAGACAAGAGTGTGAGCAGGGGAGGGGCAGAGAGAGAGGGAGACACAGAATCTGAAAAAGTCTCCAGGCTCTGAGCTATCAGCACAGAACCTGACATGGGGCTCGAACTCATGAACCATGAGATCGCGACCTGAGCCGAAGTCAGATGCTTAACCGACTCAGCTACCCCGGCGTCCTGGGGTTTCGCTTTAAATAAAAGAAAAGAAATGTGATGTTTCAGTTTCAGAGAAAGTAAAAGATAACCTAAGACATTTGGAAAAGGAATGTGAGATTTAACATTTTTGCTATTTTTGAAAGAGCAAAGAAAGAACATAGGAAGTGTTTGGGGCATCCTGGAAAAATACATAATAAAACTTATAGAGCTCATTGAGGTCTCCTTGTCTATTTTTCAAATATGACTTGCCAGCAACTATCTGCCCTTAAAGTTTCATTAGACAACATCTACTAGTAATTAGCCTGCTGCTCTGCCCTTGATCTCAATTGCTGTGCACCTTTACTTACTGTTTACTGTGTACCAGACACAGAGCAAAGTCCCTGCTCACAGAGAGCTTGCATCCTAGGGGACAGAGATTCTAGAAAAACTGAGGAACAGAAACAAATAGTGTCAGCTGGAGAAGTCACTATGGAAAACCATCATGCAGGGTGAAGACGGGAGGGTTGAGGGGGTTGCCATCGTACATGGCTCATCAGCCGGGCCTTTCTTCCCAGGCAGTGTGTGAGCAGAGGCCGGAAGGGTGTGAGTGGGCCAAGTCACTTGGGTCAAGAGTATTTCAGGCGGGAGTAACCCTGAGGAGGGAGTGGGCAGAGTGGTGAGGTTATTGTGGTTTGTGGTTGCGCTTTGGTGTGTTAACTCTTGTCATTTTTGCGTTTAGATGTGGTGAAGGTATGGGACCTAATGCTTGAAGTGTGCCCCCGATGCCCACTTCATTTAGTCCTCCCCTCTCCCTTCCTTCCGTCTTCCCTCCTCCCTTCTTTCCTCTTTTACTTCTGTCTATGTTGCTTGCTTTTAAAGAACTCTCCTTCAGTCACTCTTTACCACCCCTCTTAATTACTTGCAGACGCAGAAGCCTCTGGCCGGCTGCTCCATTGCTTTCTGAGTTTTACCTGAGTAAACGATGGTTCATGGCCATTTCTCTCCTTCTAGGTGTGTATGAGCGAGAGAATCTGCAGCACTCTCAGGAAGAGAGTAAATGATATTGAAATCCAACTGCCGGCGCTGCTTGAAGCCAAAATGCTAGCCGTATCAGGTAACTGAACACGGTGCAGACACTGAAGCAGCTGAACGGAGTAGTGACGGCTGCCACCACACCCGGGCTCTGTCCTCGAGTAACCTCCTACCCATAACCCGTATCAGACTTGGACATTTGAGAGCTTTTGTGGGAAGTTTCACTAAAACTCATGGAGTAAATGGGCACCACGGCCATCTTGTAAAGGGATGGATAAGACTCTTAAAACTGCCTATACACAGGGGCACCGGGGTGGCTCAGTGGGTTAAGCATCCGACCTTGATTTCGGCTCAGGTCATGATCTCACGGGTTCATGAGTTTGAGCCCCACACGGGGCTCTGTGCTGACAGTGTGGACAGAACCTGCTTGGGATTCTCTCTCTCCCCCTTCTCTCTGCCCCTCCCCCACTCATGCTGTCTCTTTTTCTCTCAAAATAAATAAACTTAAGACAATAAAACTACATAGGCACATATAATAAAAGATAAGTTATCAGTGTAGGTACCATGTTTTGGACTTCCCAGTTTCTGTTTCTTTATGAGTTGAGAGACTAAAGTTAATCCTCATGCCATATAATTCTAGCAGATGTTTGTACAGCATTATGTAGCTGCAGAGGCTCCATGAAGCTTGTTGGATGTGGTCAGCCCCTTCCTATAGGAAGAGAAAACGATGACATGAGACAAGGTGATGTACTCATTCAACATACTAGTCAGAGATACTAGATTTCTGGAGGATTCTCGGTGGATCATAATCCCTCCTTAGTCTGGTGGTTATTAGGAATATATTTTCCCATTAATTAGTAGGTCGAAAACACAAGTCTCTGAAAATAGTATCTTACCCTGTCATTTGAAGAATGCTTTTAAACGTTCCTCTATATATTTTTTAAGTTTATTTATTTATTTTGACAGAGACAGAGATAGCATGAGTGGGGGAGGGACAGAGAGAGAGGGAGACAGGGAACCCCACTCAGGCTCCGTGCTGTCAGCTCAGAGCCCGGCTTGGGGCTCACACTCATGAAACCGTGAGATCATGACCTGAGCTGAAACCAAGAGTCAGACCCTTAACTGACTGAACCACCCAGGCACCCCTCCTGTGTGCTGTTATTTTATTCTATGTTCACAACAGCTGTGTGAGGTAGGTGGGAGAGATACTGAGGTCCCAGTGAACAGATCAGGAGGTTGAGGGTATATCTGTTGGTTAAGTTCACTCAGTCAGCTCAGTGGTGGCAGAGCAGGGACTCAAGTCCAGGTGTGACAAATGGAGGTTTTTTTTTTTTTTATTAATTTTTTTATGTTTACTTACTTTTGAGAGAGAGAGACGGAGACAGAGCATGAGCAGGGGAGGGGTAGAGAGAGAGGGAGACAGAATCTGAAGCAGGCTCCAGGCTCCGAGCTGTCAGCGCAGAGCCTGACGTGGGGCTTGAACTCATGAACCGCAAGATCATGACCTGAGCCGAAGTCAGATGCTTAACCGACAGAGCTACCCAGGTGCCCCGACAAATGGAGTTTTAATCTAGTTACGTAATGACATCCTTCAAGTATTCTCTGAGTTTTATAGGTTGAGTGAGCCTCCAGCTCAGCAGATTCAGAAGAATCATAAAAATTTAACGAAAAGGTATAATAATTACATGTATGGGTTTTAAATGGCATTTTAAGAAGGAATACAATAATTGGCATCTTCTGGTATTCAGATCATTAAACAACTAATGTTGGCAGTTAACGAGCAATTTGGTTCCTGATGCAGTCAGGCGTATTATTTACAACCAGCGCAACATCGAAATGTGAATGTGGGGCTTGGCTCTTAACAGCTTCACATGCCATTTACTTGGAATTATGGCCCCATTTGCTAAGAGAAAAAAAAGAAGATTGAACACAATCTTGCTTCTGAGTTAGTGTTTTTGCCTTTCTTAATCCATATATCTTCCTGAGGAATACAGGTGGATGTGTCTCTATTAAGCCCAAGGGAGGAGATGTATCATTCAGGCGGCAGAGATATCCCTCTTTCAAATGTGAGTAATCTCTTTTTAGAATCCCGAGGAAAATTCTTGAGATGGTGTATTGCATATGGGGCCTGGGTTTTGTGCTTAGTTCATTGATCAGCTGAGAAAATCGGTGAGGCCTGATCGGAGACTTAGCTGGGATGGGAGCTTACCTTCTTACCTCTCTGTTTCCGGATGACACTGCAGGCCCTTGGCGAACAGGCTTTCCAGCCAATGGGGTCTCCTCACCGGCCGTGCCAGGGCCAGGGTGGTCATCATTCTTTTGCATCTTCTGCACACAATGTGGTTTCTGTTTCCTTTCGAGCTATACTCCACAGCGGGGGTGGGGATGGGGGAACCTGAGCAGGGAAAAGGCACTTCCCTCAGGATCCTGACAGGACACTTCCAGTCCATTCAGAATGGCAAATCCTCACTCCTTTAGACAAAAGCCATGACGTACCTCTCCAAGAGAAGCCTTCCTCCATTTTGGGCCATCTGTGAGAACGCTGAGGGGCAAAGCCCTTGGGATTCTTGGACGCACTCTTGAATGAAGAGGGTCTTGGGAGTGTGTTTAAGATTACCAGGGGGTCTTGTGTCTGTCTGAAAGTTTCTATGATTCACCATGTTAGATCTCCCACCCTTGATTTGATCTATAGACTGAGACCTTCTCTTCCTTCGAGAATCATTTGCTGTCTCCAGAGACTAGGAATAAGAAAGTAGTTTTATTTTCAGATTCAGCAAATCCTAGCACCTTCATATTGAACGATGTATTCTTTAACTCGCTTCTCTTTTCTTGCACTGTATCCTAGGCAGTGACGGGAAGCCAGTGGGCACGTCTGCATTCTGCCTGGAGTCTCCTTGGCCATATGACTAAATTTATTAGAAAGTTTTTCTTTATATTTATTTATTTATTAATTTTAATTTTTTTAAACGTTTATTCATTTTTGAGAGACAGAGAAAGACAGAGCATGAGCGGGGAAGGGGCAGAGAGAGGGAGACACAGAATCCAAAGCAGGCTCCAGACCCCGAGCTGTCAGCACAGAGCCTGACGCAGGGCTCAATCCCACGAACTGTGAGATCATGACCTGAGCCAAAGTCGGATGCTTAACCGACTGAGCCACCCAGGCGCCCCATTATTTATTTATTTTTATTTAGACAGAGTGTGTGCGTGCAAGAGGGGGGGCGAGGGGCAGGGATAAAAGGAGAGAGAGAATCCCAAGCAGGCTCTGTGCTGCCAATGCAAGCCTGCCTTGGGGCTTGATCTCACAAACCATGAGATCATGACCTGAGTCGAAATCAAGAGTCAGACGCCTAACCCACTGAGGCTCCCAGGCACCCCAGGAAGTTTTTCGATACTCCTTCAGTTGGTAATGTTACCAAACTTTCCATCACTACGTGGCAAGGATCCCCTTTCTTCCAGCTTCCAATTATATTTTTCTTGCTTCCCTTTTAGCCTGCACCGAGGCCTGTTGAGGCTTCTGCCTGCCACTTGGTGCAAGCATCAGGGCCTCAGATTTTAGGGTCTGTTCCAGCAGCGTTCAGATACCAAATTCTGTTCTCAATTATCGATTGTTGTGTAATAAATCAACCTCAGGATTTAGTGACTTAAAGCATCACTGACCTTTCATTTTGCCCACGAATCTGCAATTTGGGTAGGCCTTGGCAGGGACAGCTAGAGTGACTCAACTGGGGCTGGAGAATCCACTGTCAGACAAGGGAGCCAAAACAGATGAACATATGGGAAGGAGAAAAAAGAGAGGGAAACAAACCACAAGAGACTGTTAATGATAGAGAACAAACTGAGGATTGACAAAGGGAGGTAGGTGGGGGACGGGTACTAAGGAGGGCACTTGTGATGAGCATTGGGTGTTGTATGTAGTGATGAACCACTTGAAACCAGTGTTGAACTGTAAACTAACTGGAATTTGAAATTTTTTTTAAATGTTTATTTATTTTTGAAAGAGAGACAGAATGTAAGTGGGGAGAGGCAGAGAGAGAGAGAGAGAGAGAGAGAGAGAGAAAGAGAGAGAGAGAGGGAGAATATGAAGCAGGCTCCAGGCTTCGAGCTGTCAGCACAGAGCCCGATGTGGGGTTCGAATCCATGAGCTGTGAGGTCATGACCTGAGCCAAAGTCAGATGCTTAACTGACTGAGCCACCCAGGTGCCCCTTAACGAACTGGAATTTAAATAAAAATTTGAACTAAAAAAAGGGGTGGGGGGGGGGAGTAGCCCAGCCTGGACAAGGGCTTCTTAACCTCTTTGTGACCCTCACTGAAAACTCTGTCCTCTGCCCCACAGATTGATTGCTTTGGCCCCTTGCTAGGCTGCTGCTGCATGGGAGGCAAGGTGAGGGGGTGGCCCTCACCTTGTGTGGTGGGTACGGCTGATCTGGGCTCTGTGGTTAAGATGTCAACATCAGAAGTTCGGGCCTATCTCCTTTAACACCACGCTGGACCCCTGCCCGGCTGCTGGCTTCTAGGGATGAGCCCTGTGCCTTAACTCAGTCCAGTCCCACCCTCTGCATGCATGCCTCCCTTCTTGTAGCTGTGGCCTCCTCAATGCTCCTTCAATTCCCAGGACTTTTCAGGCCCAGACACAGAAGGTATTTAAGTAGTGTGGTACTCACGTGTAAGTCTCAGCAGCAAGCATCCTTCCTGCATGTTGGCCTCTGGGTCTGCACCACTGCTGGGACCCAGTCCTTGGATGGGTCCCCAGGTCCTCTAACTGGGCTCTGTCTCTATCTGTGCTCTGTAACCTGATTAGCACCCCAGTCTTCCTCTGGCACGGGGCCTGCCATGCTGTGACCATTTCCCCTCCGCTAGGATCAAAGCCTGGCTCTCTGATGCCCCCCTTCTGATACTGCTCTGATGTTGACATTTTGTGCGCGTTTCTGGCTCCAGCCTTTCTCTCCTTGCATCATCCACTGTTATTGATGGCGTCCATCTGTTGAGTCACTCTCCTCTGTTTTTCTTGGGCTTTGCCTGATGCCTGGCCCTTGGGAGACAGTCGGTGAGACTAATTATGTTAAGAAAAAATGGACCTCATT